AGGCATAGCGAAAATTACGAAATTCAGAAAAAGTGCTCAAACGTTCAATTCTATAAATATTGTCATCAATTGTGATGCCTGAGCGTCATCACGATCATTACATGATCAATTGATTTAGATGCTTGAGAACAGCTTTATTCGACTTTTCAGATATATTTGATTCATCTGAATTATCTGACTTATTCGACTTATCTGATTTATCAAACTGCAAATAATTCATAAGCTTATTAATATTTCAAATGTAGTATTGTAGTATTAATATATTAATAATCTTATGCAGTTAAAAGTTGAAAACATTTTCTATAAAAGAATCACTAGTTTGGGAGCCATACCATGCTATGAGATTGACTCCGCACGATGCTTTGCGTAACTGCTTAAATTCAGTCATTATTTCCTGTCCTGAGCTTGTTTTTCCTTTTCCCATCCCATCCCATCCTAGGCGCCTTCTCCTTTCTTCTTCCTCCACTTCACGTAATTTTCTTTGAATTTCTTCTTTTGGCTTACGAAATTTTTCTTCAACTTCTTCGACCATCGGTAAATAGAAGTTCCGTCTTTTCACATCATCATCATTAATATTCCTATCATCGTCATCATTAATATTCCTACTATTGCTTAAAAAACTATACAAAAAATATGGTAAGTTTAATTTTTAATCATTTTGATTTAATATCTCAAAACACAGTTATCATTGTTAAATTTTGAGCTATTAATAATAATTATTTTAAATTTAAGATTAGTTTCAACATTGTTCAGACCTTGTCTCTGTCTTAATTGTTCTTATACCATCTAACCAAGTCGCCATATATACTAATTTTGTTTCATCTTCACTAATCATTTGCAAATTTTTCAATTGATTATATGGAATCCATTCAATGACTTTTTCATATCCCTCAGCTTTTCTTCGAAGGCCTTTGATAAGTTCATCAATGTTCCCATTTTCGCTGGTACACTTTTGATTCTCACATAATTGACACCAGGCTGGATAAATGTATTTTTGCTTACATGTTGCACACGTTCCGTAAAAATTACGCCTTTATAATGAAATATAATGCATTAATTCCGCTGACCATGCTTGAATTACAAAATAAATTAATAATATACTAACCTTTTCATTAAATTGATCGATGATGCCATAAAATAATTATGACGAATGCTAGCATTATGATTACATTTTTAATAAGCGCTAATTTCACAAATAAACTTTAATACTTACTCCCTTTAGCATGTAATGATAAAATCATTAGGGGTAATATATGATAGTATTCATTGATTTATAAATAAATATTACACAAACCTCCTAATTAATGAATTTATTGCATCAGAATAACGTTGATTTTCACTAACTAAAGAAGCATAATGCTTACCTGATAATAATCAAAGTTACTCTTCTGCACACAGGGTTAAAAATGGCGATGGAGATCTTAAAGCAAGACGTGACAAGCAAGATGAGTGGAATTGTATCATTTTTAAAGGGGAAGCAGTATTTGTAATAAATGACCTATTTTATTCAAATGGAAAAATGAATTAATAAGTTTTAATGAATAAATATAGTTCACTAGTGCCCAATGATTTAAACAGTTCTCATTACTCATAATTTCTGAGCGATAAATGAGTAATGCCAATTTAAAACCTGGAAGTGAAATATCTAAGTTTTACTGTGGCAAACTGATCATGTTTGTGATTCAATTATGTAATATTATACAGTGAAACTTAAATATCCACATCCTGGTATTAATTTTGCAGCGCTCAAATAGAATACCATCCACTGTATATTTTACTTACTTGAATAATGATCTGTGGAATATTTCTGAGAAAAATATCAACGAATGTACCCCACATAATCGCAACACCAAATATATGCTTGAATAATATAGGCATAAATATATTAAATACATTTAATTGCTTATATTTTTGAGTAAATTTAGATACATCTTCCAAAATCGTCAAATATTCATAATCAGTTGTTGCCAAAATAACGACAATTATCACTAATCCTAGATGTTTAATAACCCATTTTTTAAACTCTTCTCCAATTTTGGGATCTTTAATTTCTCTGTAAATAGTATAGGCTACTATACAGAAGTTTGTGAATAATGGAACACTCAAGAAGAATGCACTTAAAACCGTGTTTGGTTTTTCAAAAATTAAAAGAAAAAAAGGTACCAATTAATTAACACTAGTTTAATGCAATATAAATAAATTTATTCAGTATAAATACCTTGCCCACTTAAGCTCCGGTACATCATCGGAATAATAAACAACAAAGAGAATTGAAAGAACAAAATTAGAGATGATAATTGCGAATCTTAGCATTACAGAACGTATTTGA